TTATTGCTGCTGCTGCTGCTGTTTGGAGAGTTATCACTGTATGTGCATTTGTTTAGAGCCAGAAGACACGTTCGATATGCAGAAGTAGGCGCGCGGTTCAACCAAATTACACAATTAACTGTCAGGATCTTTATAGAAAGTGTAAGTTCCAATTTTGAAATTTTCCACTGATGTTAAGACAGCTTGCGCGGCAGATGAACACAACTCACCATGGCCACCGCCCGGAGAACACTGCCCACGACTCCTACTTGTTGTGTGCCCGCTGACCCACTCCTGTATCGATCCAAAGAAGGAACGTCTTACACAGCGGAGCACGATTCAATCTTGACGTGTGTTGCTGTTAAGATGAAACGACTGCGTCAGGGGCTCTTGGGCGCGCGACCGCGGTATCAACATCCTTACTATTTCTTCCGATCTGCAAAACTCTTCGTTCAAATATCGACCCGGTGACGCATTGGGAATTAGAATCTTCGTGGTTTTTTTGGTTGTTCCAGGAAAACGCTGACATATCAGCTTCAATTAGATCAATGCGGCTTTCTACAGAAATTTCTTTACAGTAATAACGCATTAGATAGCACAACACATCTCTGTTTTTATTGCTCGTGGAGAGGGACTCAGTCCCTTGCACTGCGGCCACTCCTGGCCTATTGTACCTGCCCCAGCGCCACTTTGTCCACCACAAATCAGGACATATCTTACTGGCCGCAGCCGATCCAAAACAATAGAAGTGTTGCTCTGAAACGTCAGTTTATTTTAAACGAACTGCATGGCGTTATTTCTCAGAAGATAGAATTCTTTTTAAAAGAGATCAGGCCATCGAGGAATCTATATACACTGCTAGAGGAAAAGGTTAAATTATAAATACAACTGCCAAATTTCAAATACGAGACAGACAATTTTCTCAAGGTTTTAACGAATGAAATTGCTGTTGAGAAATGACATAACTCGATAGTGGGCAATTGCAGATACAACCAATTTTTTGTGACTTTTTATCATTATTTCTTGGGGTTAGGTGAGACTGAGTCCTCTTGGTACGCCTGTCACTAATTCGCCCTTTGTACCAGCCACGGATGATAGACGAGTATGGAACAGTCGGTAGAATGAGAATTGGCAAGGGAAACCGAAGTACTCGATGACAACCTGCCCCAGTGCCACTTCGTTCCCACATGACCTGACCTGGAATCATACCCTTGGCTGTCGCGGTGGGAAGCCGGCTACTATCCACCTGAGCTATGGCACGGTCTTCTTCGCGCCTTAGAGGACTCAGAAGTGTTGCGAACCTGGCCAGCACACGAAGCGCCCCACTTGTAACGCTGTTTCTGTCTACTTCAACTCCTTCACATGGATCGAAACATCCATTAGGGAAGGTAGAAATTACCCTCCTTGCACCCTCTGGCCTAGTTTGCAATGTGAATATTCATGTCTAAGAACAACTTCTCGGTGCGTGTTGCGTGTTATTTTTCAGAGGGTGCCCTTATGGATTGTTATGGAGTCAATTGCGGAACAGATTAGACTGTTGATTCTAACAGAGGAGCGTTGCTGCAGAATTTGGAACCCCAACTGGAAACACTTAGAATAAGCCTACGCAGTTCCGTGACATACCTTATTTCACTGTATGACAAATTCACAATGAAGTTAGGTACATGATCCATAGCGGAAATATTGTAGCGAGATGTCAGAACTGTGGAACACGTCAAGGTTTCTGTACCGTCACAGAACACGTGATGTTCTGGCCGGCATATAATGAGTGATTGCATTGAATGTACCAATACGTTAATCTGTTTATTATATCGAAATAAAACACATTTTTTCGGTCTTGCTGGCCATCTTAAGGTGTATACACGTACATGTAAATTGACAAATATACAATTGCTGAATACGTAATTTAAAAATGGATTCATTTTTAGTCAATATAGTTAAAGTTTTATATTTTTTCACACGTTTATTATACATAATCTCCAGAATATCCAATAACTGTAATCCAAAAGCTGCCATTACTATGCAACGGCGAGGTAAACACCTCTATAAGAATAGAGGAATTATTAGGAAACGGTGTTTCTGTGGGTCCGTCCCGAGGCTATATAACGAGGACCCCAGGCCAACTGGAATAGAAATTGAGGGAGTCTCTTTAGACGGCTATCGCAGATGATTTGGAAGAAACTGCAACGAGTTCAGCTGAGCTACAAGAGTGCAGATGTGAAAGGAAGACTTCATATGTGCTGCAGTTACAGTGATACTGATATAATTACTGTGTTGAAATCCGTTGCCAGGATACGACTAGTGAAGACAGAACATTAGTGTGTGTGTGTGTGTGTGTAACGGTGAACTGTAAGTGTGTAGATCAGCGATAGCGCTGTATTACTTGTAGTTTCGAGTTGAGTGTATAAGGTGTCAACAAATCCGGTCACAAATCCAAACCCGTCAATAGTCACTCCTAAATACGTGACAACAAAGTGACCACTGGGCTCAAAAGGGTTAACCTAAAGGATGTGGTCGCAGCAAGCGGAAGAGGACTGAAGATGATGGGACGGACAAATATAATATAGACTGAAGATATACGGAGAAATGTGGGAAAGAAATAAATGTAGGAAAATCTAATGGTTTTGTTCCTATTGCCATGTTGCATCATTAAGATATTCACCAGGCATATGAAATTAACTGGTATATCTAAGTCGCCGGTCACGGTATCCAAGCGCTCTAAGGCACGCACTGTCTTCGCTCGCTCGGAAGCCGGGACCGTGGGTTCGAATCCCACTCAGAGCATGGATGTTTGTATACAGGTAGAGGCCTTGCGACGAGCTGATCACCTGCCCAAGGAGTCCTACCGAATGTCTAAGATCTAGTAAACCGAAGTGAAACGGAGAGTTTCATGGAGGTAGGCCTAGGCCGAAATTGGGACTGCAGCGCCACAGAAAATATCTAAGTCAGTAAACTGTTCGTTTGTAGCCTGTACTGTGAGTCTAATTTGACAGTGTTATCCGAAATGTCAGCTGTAATCTAGCAGACATTGATTTTAATAATGTAAAATTCTATTAATCTGCTATAAGTAAAGGGTAAAGTTGTCCCTGTGCTTAACTAATTAAACACTACGGCACGAAGGCGTATGGGAGAGTGGATGTATAGATCCACATTTTCTTGACCTCGGCACTAGTTGGAGGTGAGTGGTCGGCTTCACGCCCCGGCCGATTTATCCGCGAGGAAACGGCCCCCGGTACCCATTGTATAGGAAGTTGGGTGGACCCCAGAGCCGGTCTGGACGACATGGAGAAAAGAAAATTCTTTCCCCACCGGGACTCGAATTCCGACTCCTCCATCCTCCAGCCCGTAGCCAGTCGCTATACCGACTGAGCTATTCTCTGACCGAAATATATTGTCATTTAAAATTTAATTTTTATTCAGGCTACGATTCATTTAACGACACTTTCAGTAGTTCGGAATATAGCATCGAATGAGAGAAATTTGTGAATAATTAATTGGAGAGTGGTGAATAGACGGTCTTCGCTTAATTTGCTGCTATCCAGTGATGCACTGGAGGGAGTGAGGAAAGGACAAAAATTCTTAATCGTAAAAGTTAATCATCGTATAAAGAGCTGGAATTAAGACCTGCCTAACAGAAGCAAAAGTGCTAACCATGCAATACAACGTTGTCACTAGACAAAAGAAAGCCAACAAAGACATGTTGCTACCTCCAGGGGACCTTTTCTTAAAACCTGTCTCCCTCTGTTAAATAACCTCAATTTCCTTTCCTCCAGCATTTATTGCTATTTCTTATAATATAATGTGGGCCTAAAAAAACTACCCTTTTATTTCTAGACTTTAAACCTAGTTGAGAAATTCCCCTTTTTCGGTAGAGGCGGTTTATTTGTTGGCAGCCCTACAGGTGACCCACAGCTGTCTCCTGTCTCCCCTCCACATCAGTAGCTGCGACAGATTGCTACTTTTCATGAATCTTATAAAGAAATTTGGTTTGTTCTATTTTCTTCTTTGATGCCGGGTTACTTCAAGATGGCAACCGGAAATAGCGTGTTGTAGCTCGCGTGACTAAGGCGACTACAGCGCTCCTCGTGGCGGAGCCCCTGAAGTCATCTCCTTTAATAAGAGGACTTACCTCAACAATGAGTCCTCTCTTTTTCGGAATTTTCGTATAATACCTAATGACTCATCTTTGCCGTAAGGAATGCTCTACGCTCTATATAAGGTTAAACCTTATGTAATTCAACAGGAGGCAATTTGTTTTGCTTCGGCATAAAATTGGTTACAGAGTGTTCATTGTAACACATTGTTTATAGGTTATTCGGCTACTTTATGTCAACCAGAGGGGCTATTTAGAGATGAGCGAGATGTGGAGAAGATAATACGTGGAATATAATTTCCTATATACATATATATAAATCATTCGAAAATATTTAAGCCTATTTGTGAGCAATAATAAGAAATAAAATTTATTAGATTTTAAGTATTAACGGAGTGGTATCAAAATTGTGATATTCTGGGATGTGGGGCTGTGTAGTACGGTAGAAAGTACAAACGTTTCGGAGATACCTCCTGTCTCCAACTTCAGGGTAGAAGATAGAGGTAGTATGCTCTTTCGAAACTCTGTGTCTACCTATCAAACTACATGGCTTCACAACCCACAAGGCCGTAAGCTATATCTTCATGATGAAATTAAATTCTGGAAATGCATGTTATTATTCTGCTCGAAATTGTTGTAATTATGTCTGTTTTCCAAAACTCTCTATCTCGAGATAAGGAAACAGGCTTTTCCACTATGTTGCTTGCTACCTGCATCGTGCTGGTTTCTTGCTTGGCTTATTTCTCGACCATGAAGATGGAGGCTCAGCTGATTTTAAACGGACTACATGACGCTATATCCCATAAGATAGAACTCTTAATCTATTATTGCGTCACCTACTTGAAAATAATGCGTAAAATCAGAGAAAACGCACCGATTGTCCAGTGTCGTTATTAATATTCTTGCTTCGTATTCCGGGGATGCCTGGTTCGAATCTTGGCCCCCCAGAGACGAGATATGCTCACTGAAGTTATTTGTGATTTTCATTGGTCTCTCCGTGAACAGTGCCGTAAAGAAGGCCACAAACTCCTCCTTTGACATCCACTCCCATTTCACTATCATTCAACTATTCAACGGGGCACGCGTAGTTGGTTGAGGCACTATGCTACAAGCCGAAATGTCGCGGGTTCGAGTCCCGATGAGGTGGATTTTTTT